TCCAGTGCTCATGGGTCTGTAGGATGAACATAGTAAAATGGCCATTCTACCAAAGGCAATCCCATCAAAATTCTAATACAGTTCTTTAAGGATCTTGAAAGGGTAAGACACAACTTCATACAGAGAAAGAAGAAAAAACCCAGGTGGCAGGCACCATGCAGGAGGAGCTGCAGTGGGCAGATGAGCTTCCTGGAGATAGAAAGGTTTGCATGGCTGCAATGGGTGTCCTCTGGAGAGGCAAGGACCCAAGAGCTTCATCTGCACATTGCTTCTTGCTGATGCTGTTCCTTCTCATGTTTGTCATTGTTATATTCCTCATATGTCTGACATAGTGTGACAGCCCACTTATTTGGACAATTTTCCTGCAGATCAATATGAAGATGAACTTTCATAAAATAATATTGGTTTATGAATTAGTGGATTTTATATCATTCCTGATTTGATTTAAATAGTTTTAGAAATTTAGGTTAAAATGTGTTTTTGTTTTGTTTTTGTCAATGGCTCTGATGGAGAAAATTTTAAGAAGCAATTTGAAGTTCAGAAAAGTATACTCTTAATAGTTGAACTGGGAACTTTTTGAAGTTAGGGAAATTTCCATCAGGTCTCTCCCCTTGGCCCATTAGGAACCCTTTGGAAGAGAGAGAAGATGAAATGTAGGAACCAGAGTGATGGAGGACACCGGGAGAACAAGTCTAGTCTCACAGACTTCAACTAAGCAGGGCTTATAGGGCTCACAGAGACTGAAATGGCAATCAGAGAGCTTGCGTAGGTTTGTGCTAGATCCTCTGCATACATGTTATGGTCGTTAGGTTGGTGTTTTCGGTGGGACTCCTAACAGTTGGAGTAGGGGAGTTTCTGACTCTTTTGTTTTTTATTGGGACTCTTCTCCTCCTACTGGTTGCTTTGCCCAGCCTTGATCTGACTGTTTTGTGCCTAGTCTTGTATCTTGTTATGCTGTGTTCAGTGGATATTCCTGAAAGACCTGCTCTTTTCTGAAGCAAAATGGAAGAGGAGTGGATCTGGGGAAAACGGGAGATGGGTGGGAGGGAATGGGAGGAGTAGAGGGAGAGGAAATTGTAGTCAGGATGTATTGAAAACAAACAAACAAGAAGAGTGCATTTCGGTATTGCAAAGACTAGAGTTTGCTTCCCATTTCCCACATCAGGTGACCACAACCACCTTTAACTTCAGCTGCAAGGAGTCTGAGGCCCTCCTCTGGCCTCCATGGGCACGTGCTCTCATCTCTCTCTCTGTGTTTCTCTCTCATATACACAGACACACAGACACACACACACAAATCTTAAAAGAAAAACACTAGAACGTAACAAGATCACTTTAACGGAGGGTGTAAGAGTGTGATCCTCGGCATAACGGCATCTTTGAGAAGTCACCAGTAGGTGGACCACTGCCTCAGCCTGGCTAGCAGGTGGTGGATGTGCAGGCTACATAGAAAGATTAGCTCGGGGTTTGAGAACTGAGCAGACAAGGAGCCGTAGTGCATAAAGTGAAGCCAGTGGACTTTCATACCCTACAAAATCTATAGTGTATAACATTTAAGCAGGACTCAGACTCTCACAACCTACTATTCAAAAAGTCCTCAACATACTCTAAGTCCATGTTGAGTGTGAACAATGAGGAGAATACAATACTCAAATGTATCAGATAAAAGAGTAGACACACTAAGCTGAGATGCCCCAGATGTTATATTCAGTGATGTCTTCAGAATGGCGATGACAAAAGTATGTAACCTCCTCAGATCAAGAACAAATGCAGGAAGCTGCAGAGAGGATTGAGAATGTAAGTCATCAAGTGAGCAATGCTTATGAAATTTCTACGAAGAAATTAAACATTTATCCTATTATATTTTTAAATATATTTATTGTGCTCAAATAATGGCTCAGCGGTTAAGAGCACTGACTGCTCTTCCAGAGGTCCTGATTTTAATTCCTAGCAGTCATGTGGCAGCTCACAGCCATCTATGCTGTCATCCCATGGGATCCAGTGTCTGTATGTGCAGATTTAACACTCATATGCATAAAACACACAAATAAATAAATTTCCTTTTTTAAATGTAATCATTTATTTAGTGTGCTGTAGGCGTATAGGTGGAGGGAGTGCGCACATACATGAATGTGTGGGTGCATTTGGGGCAGGGAGGGTGAGTGTGTATGTGTGTGTGTGTATACAAGTGGAGGCTAGGGATCAGCCTCGGATGGTTTTTGTCAGGAGCTATCCACCTTGTTTCCTAAGGCAAGGTTGCTAACGATTAGGTGGATCTAGCTTACCAGCTAACCCCAGGATCCTGCTGTCTTTGCACCCCCAGTTCTGAGATAACAAGTGTACACTACCACATCCATTTTTTTTTTCTAGTTAGGTCCAAGGATCAAACCCAGGTCTCCCATGCTTGCACGGTAAGCACTTTACCAACGCAGCCATCACCCCATCCCTAATCGGAATGTTAGCAACAAAAAGCACAATAATTAAAATTAAAAACTCATTGTAGAGGTGGGCGTGATGGCTCAGTGGTTAAGAGCACTGGCTGACCTTCCAGAGGCTCTGGATTACATTCCCAGCATCCACACAGTGGCTATGATGGTCTGGGACTCCAGTTTCAGGGGATCCAGTGCCCCCAAACACTGCAGGAACAAACATAGATGCCGACAAATCACTTATACATATAAAAAAATTAAAACAAGAACTCACTGTAGAAGAAAAGTGTCTAAACCCAACAAAAGCTGGACAGTGTCAAGTGTACCAGTGCATACGTGACAGAAGCTTCCTGGAGAGGAGAGGGAGGAAGATAAAAGAGATAACTGGTAAAGACTTCACGTATCAAGAAGCTCCTTAAATTCCAGGAAGGATTAGAACAAAGGGATCCAAGACACAAAGCACACAGATGGTCAAACCCAGAGAGGGAAGTGACATCACACATAGAAGATGGTCTACAAAAGTAAGTCAAGTCTCCTCCAGAAAAGGTGGCCTTTCTTCTAGTTTCCAATAAAGCCCTCTTTCCCCCCACCCCCTTTGAGATCAAATGGAAGGCGCCCTGTGCTTCACCTAGAGAATTTGTACACCTGGTTTGACTAGCAGAGGAAAACCTAAGCTGGAGCCTAGCCATCACTGGTTGTTTTCAACCACATTTATAGTGAGAACCTGTAGAATTAGAAAACTTGCAATTTTGGCAACCATTCTGGCTGCCAAACAGGGTGTGGTCGCTAAAGAGACTGGCACTAGAAGAGGAAGGATGTTTGAGGGCATAGGAGGATTTCACAGGACCACAGCCACAATAGGCTTAGGAGATAGAGAAGTTTGTTTGAATGACTTTGAAGTGAACAGAGAAGCCAGGAGATCTCTGCTCCATAAAGAATAGTGCATGGGAATAACAGGTGAAATGCAAGACATTTCCACTTAGGTTTTAAAAGATGGTCTGGGTTGCTGGCAGCAGGTGGCAAGGTTGATCACTTCAAGGAGCCCTTGACAGTATAAACGAATCTGCTGTAGTGAAGCTGAAGCTTCCAGGGAGATCTTGGGAAGTTGGAAATGTCAAGGACATGGAATGTATGCTGAGGACAGCTGTAGGCAGTCACATGGGCTGACACAGCAAGGCCGTAGAAGTGCAGCTGTCTAAACTCCCAGGGTCACTCCACATGTCAGACACGAAGCTACAAGATGGAGTGTGTATCTTGCTGGGCGTGAGTGTTGCTCTGGCCTCTTTATGATTGGCTTGTTTCTGTCATGTGGATGGGAGTGTTGACTCTGCCCTGGAACTTTTCAGAAGTCAAGTCTAGTCAAAGTAAGTCTGGTCTCTCTGTAGTTTGGCCACCTTGCAGGAGATGCCACATAAACACTGTGTTGCCAAAGGCCCAAAGTAATGTGTCTGTGACCTGGGAGCAAGACCTCTAAACCCATGAGCCAAATACACCTTTCTTCCTTTGCAGTGGATTTACTTTGTTATAGATTGGAAAGGGCCGATTACACAGACCCATTAATTACTTAGTAGCCACCTCAGGCATTGATTAACTGTTATAATACTGATTTTCTTCTCTCTGTTTTTAGACAGGGTTTCTCTGTGTAGTTGTGGCTATCTTGCAAATCACTCCACAGACCAGGCTGTCCTCAAACTTGGAGATTCACCTTTCTCTGTCTCCCAAGTGCTGGGATTAAGCATACTGAAATGCTTAAATTCAAGTAAATCTTACTTATTTATCATGACTCCAAAGTAAGAGATCAGTGAGTCTGGTAGCTCAAATATCAAAGACAAACAAAGATTCCTTTAAGTAAAAAGACACAAGTGTGATGTGTGTATGTATAGGAAACAATACCCACTAAGCACAGCTTCTGACATTTATTGTGGTCCTTGGAAGTGTATCTCTCAGAGATAAATGGACCACTGTATTTGGAGATGGTGTTTGGGTGGTCATCAGGTTCAATGAAGGTATGAGAGTCTCACTCTCATGGTGGGACTAGTTGGTATTCTTATCACTAGAGACTAGATTGCCAGCCCTGCCACCCCATACCCAATATGAGCTAATTTCTTTATAGTTTAAGGAAGTTTAGGATAAATCTGTTATTTGCCAACAAATTCCTCTAACAGAAGCCAGATTGCAGATTGCTTTTCTTAAAAGAAAGACAGGAAGAAAGGAAGAGAAAGAAAGAAAGAAAGAAAGAAAGAAAGAAAGAAAGAAAGAAAGAAAGAAAGAAAGAAAGAAA